GTGTGTGTGTGTGTGTGTGTGTTTGTGTTTGTGCGTGTGTGCATGTGTGCACATATGCAATATTCCAGCATGACTCACCTCCAGGCTACACTGTTACCTCCTTGAGAGCTTTCGATTGCCTCCGTCACTCTGTCACGCAGTCCTCTACATGCACATGTTGACACTCATTCACACTCACTCACTCACTCACTCACTCACACACACACCCCCACACACACACACACACACACACACACACACACACACACACACACACACACCCCTACAACTTCTCAACTCAACTTATCTCACTTTTCACCTCTCTCTCCCCAGGTATCGCAGTCTGAAGCATTTCAACTACGACGTTTGTCAGAGTTGCTTCTTTTCCGGGCGCACCGCCAAGGGCCACAAGCTCAACTACCCCATGGTGGAGTACTGCACACCGGTGAGGGACTGACGCATACACACACATACAAACACACACACAGACACACGTTCAGCAACTCTTCTCCTATCTCTTCTCCACACGCTCATCCATTTAATGAAAGCACACAAATTCACAACTCGCTGTCCGACCCTGGTTACCTCCTATCCTCACATATTCTCCTATAAACCACGGAGCTCTTGATTTGAAAGTGTTCCGTTGTGTTAATTTCCAAATATTTGGTCATTGTAGAATTTGCAAGTCACAGTGCGTGATGGACCAGTGGTGGATCATAATGGTTATTTGCCTCACAATGTGAGCGTACATTACCAGAAGTAGTCACTTTTATGTGCACGTGATCCGATTTGCATCCCCCCGATGTGTCACTTCCCGAATCGATTACTCCAACTTGTTCCACAATCGACCCCCCCGACGGCACTCTGGCTTATTTAGATTTACATGAAGAAACTGTAAAATGGTCATGGCTCTCGGAGGCCTTTTTATAATTTTTTGCCAGAAAGCCGTATTTCAGTTTACGACTGTGCAGAGAGAAGAATATGAGAAAGAGGAGGGGGGGTGGGCTTTGGGGAAATTGAACATTTGCTCTCTTCTCCTCAATTCTAATCGCACACTTGCGAGCCAACTCTTTCCAGTATTGCTTCACATCAAACTCTGAGTGATGCCTCTCGTTTTTTTTTTTGTCTTTTAATTTGCTTTTTCAATTTTGCAAATGGGATAGATATTGACTTTGGAGCAGCAGCTGTAAGGAGCAGTGATCATTCTTCCCTGAGTGTAGATGCCCAGCAGCCGCCTGCCGCAACTTTGAAGAAAAAACATTATACTGTGTTTAACGTTACTGCAGCAACAAGCTCTTAAAATGTTTGTGCCAGATTATTATTCAGTTTTTACTGACCGACAACTTATATCGGAAAAGAAGAAATGCACGATGACCTCAGAGAGAGGTTCAGCATTTCTTTTTCCTCATTTTTATGTTGCATCTTAAAATCAAATTGATGTAACGTAGGGTTTATTTATTGATTTATTCAAAACAACCCAGCGTATGAAAGTATGTAATTTCAAAGTCCTACAGGCAGTGAAAAATGAACTTGCATCCTTTTTGCTTGCAAATCAACCTCAAAACAACAATCGAAGTTTTTCTTATAAGTCATGTTGATGGTGGTTAGGTTTGTTCACAGCGTGACCCTCTGTGTGGTCTGTCATTAGATGTGCTTTCAAACTATTTGTTTACATCCATGTATATCAGTGTATCTCTGACCTGCCCAGTAATTGCTTCCTTACACTTTCTTCTCTCTCTCAGAGTGGGTCATCAAACTGATCTGAGCAGCCTGGCAGGACAGTTTTTATAATGAGACCATGAATTTACGGACCACGCTGATAATGCTGCTATGATGACAGATGAGAAGCATAATAATCAGCCAGTGTATGAGCCCACTGTGTATCATCTGAGGACGAATAAGCCTCTGGGGGCAATGGGCAATATTGTGGAAAATCCGGCCAAACAGTCTAGACTAGTTTGTTTGATCCCTTAGATATTTTAGGTCCAGATGACATTTTGGCTAAACTGTATTAACGTCTATTTGCACATGAATGCAGATTTACCTGTGGGCAACGATAGCCTGCTCAAACGCGAGTGGTCAAACTAGAAACCAGAGGGCTTCCGATCCCAAAATCGTGTCCCTCATTTACAGATTCCGTGTATTCATGCGCAGAATCCTCTCATAGAGATTAAATAATTGGTGCTGGAGGCTGCGGAAACGATGCTAATGTTAGCAGCCTGTAAAATACGGAGAAGTCTGATACGACAAAAGATTCTAAGTACTGATTATTTGATCAACCTTAATTTCAAGCTCTTTGTCTGCCAGTAACCAGCCACAACTCATCACCATCACGATTTCAAGAAGATCTGACCACCAAGCTCTTCGTAAACACTGTATATTCAACTTTACAAACGTTTATTGACCCACGACACACTGGAGTTTGTTAGAAAATCCAGCAGTTCCAAGCTGTTCCGAGAGTCCAAGACCAAAATCTGTAGCTCCTGCTCAGGGTTGAATCGAATAAAAACGTATCTGAATCAACTTCTTGTGTCATTTTAAATCCTGCAGTCAAACTCAACTTTATTCGACACCGGAGAGTGTGAGGTTTTTTATTGTTTCTCTTTGTTTTCTCTAAAGAAAATGTGAGTGTTATATATAATTATGTTTACCCTTCTCCCTGTGCTTAAATCAAATTGCCTTTCCACTTTATGTCTTTGGAAACTTGATTCCATATTAAATAATAGTTGCAGATGGATAGTGGCTTTTGTGAAACTCTGTGGTCATTTAATGGGATTTTTCATCTTCGTTGTACCGTTTACCTTATGGCTGCAATATTGCTTTTTTTTTTTTATTGCGTTTATATTTTTATAGGAGTGGCATTCATATTGTTCCATCGGGCTTTGTCAGGGATATTGATGAAGACAAATTTGGTGTTGTGTTTTATCGATTGCTGTAATTTCAATGTTTAGACCTTTCCTAACAGGAGATGTTGCTTTGGTTATGACCTTTGTCGCACGTCACACCCCTGCTTTTCTCTCTCTTCATTGTTTCCCATCAATTTCTATACTGTCACTTCCTATTAAAGGCAAGAAAACATTGTTAAAATGAATATATCTCAAAGAAAGGAAGGAGCTCGCAGAAAAACACACATTGGACTTTCACAAATCAGCCTCCAGCTTCAGGTTGATTGTATTTTATTTGCTAATGGTTTGCTCATGCTACCGTCTCAAATAGTGTGCATTAGTCAATAAGCCAAGCAAAGTCCATGTGTTAGTTTACACATTCATCTGAGGGAGTTGTGTGTTTATCTATGTGTGTGAGTGTGTGTTTAGTTTTAGTTGCCTGAATCCTCTGCAAAAGGATTTTCTCCCCCTCTGGTCGGACTGTTGTGGTAATTTGTTGTTTGCTTGCGCGGCAGAAAACACTTTAGAGGGGGAACACCTCTGCTAAGTGTCTAATTAACAACACACGCTCTCCTCTACTCAAATGCATCTGCTGTGCACTCAACACACACACACAGTCACTGAATCAACCCATCTTTCTCTCTGTGTATCTCACAGACGACATCAGGTGAGGACATGCGCGATTTCACCAAAGTGCTGAAGAACAAATTCCGATCGAAGAAGTACTTTGCCAAACATCCTCGGCTCGGTTACCTGCCAGTCCAGACGGTTCTGGAAGGAGACAACATGGAAACGTAAGTAACATCCAAGTGTCTTTGTGAGTCGGAGCAGTGCTAAAATCTGATGAGCGGAGGTACAATAAAAACTCTTAATTGATTGATGAATGAACCACTGACAGAGCCCACGCTCAGTTTTACGTCTATTGGGTCCACACGTCACTGAGGTCCTGTTCAGAGTTTAAATGTGTCTCCTGTGTCCACTTGTGATTGTGTCCTACGTCCTGGCTCTATACACTGAGACACATTTGTAGTTTTGCACATTTGGGGCTAGTGACGCTGAAGAGGGCTGCATCCACACTTGTATGCTTTAGTTTTATATTCATCATCTTTGTTACGTTTACATCAAGCGTTCACACTTCCCTGGAGGTTTAGAAGAAACACTGAAACACTTTTTATCTCACTTGTTGAAATCCTCTTCACGGCCCGATAGCCATCAATAAATAAAGCGGTCAGGGAAAAAACCAGTGTCAGTGGCCCCTTGCAGGAGTGTAATATTTTCACTTGGACCAGATGAAATTATTTGCTGGTGTACGAGTCTGTCACCAACTGACCTGCCTGTTTCCGTGGAGTCTTCACCCGGAGACACAGACCCTAACTCCTGAAGCAGAGACTGTAGCCCTCTCTTGCTTTTCCAGGATTACCAACCCTAGATTTAAAATGTGGTAATCATGGCTCCGATTTGGTTTGTAAACTTTTTTTTATTGAAGAGAAGAACCTGAACGCGCCAGTGTGGATGTTGCCTCAAGTCTTGAAAACTTTGGATCCTCCACCTCCCAAAATGCAACTTGATGGCCTCTTTTAATTTAACCTCCCTGCTCGCCACATATCTCAAAACGTCATGTGCCCAGTTTGCAACACAGACTCTCATTTACAACGCTTTAGCCTCAGAGGCAAGATTACTCAAGTGACAGGACTCGTGATATTAATTTTCTTCAACTTGACAAAGCCTTAATTGCTGTGCCCCGTGTGCTCGGAGACTGTCGCACTGTTTTCTCTGCGTTTCATTCATCAGCTCTTTTATCTCTACCAGTCGCTCACTCACTCCTCACGTTAGACCCTGACATTTCTTGCCCGTGCTCACTTTTTACTTTTGCACACACTAGTTCTGCATCTTTTGAGCTCAGGAAACTCTTGAAGAAGTCTATGCGTGCACACACACACACACACACTGACTCACCTGTTCACTTACGATACATTTCCCCCCTCCGACATCCAGTTACACGCAGTCGCCCCGCAGATGGATTGCACTCCCTCTTTCATCCCTCCCATCCTCGCCTGTCCTCCTCCACACCTCCCACCCTGCTCCCTTCTCACTTCCCTTCCTCTGAAAAATGACTCCTGCTGAGCTGCCTGTCTGATAAATGCCTCTAAAAGAAATCGAGGAATAGCGGGTGGAAACGCGGAGATCTCTTCGAAATATGGCAGCAGGGAATGGAGACTGAGAGGAAATTTAGTTCTATTTCATGGGCATCATTTTCCCATCTCTTTTTACTACATTAAGTCTGTTCTGTGAGCCGTGAGCTATCCACATGTTACCACAGGCATGTGTTCTCTAGAGACAGCTTAATGTGCAGTGAGAAGCCTCTGTGTGAGATTTCTAGCTTTAAAGCTGCGTAAAAGTTCTTGATCAGTGTTATAATGCTCATTTACTCATAGGCCTGTGGTGTGCCATCACCGTTTTCTGGCTCTTGTCATCTTCGTGTCACTGAAATGAATCTATGCCCTAAATTGAAATGGATTCCTCTGTAATTGGAGCAAGGACTAGTCCCTGCTCAGAAAGAGGATTTACACAGATTTGGTAAACATCGTATCGTTTGCTGCTATTTTGGATGTAATAAGAAAGTGATTGCTCCCAATTTTTCAGCTTCGTTGATGGACTGCTGAGTAATGGACTGAATGTAGTCGAAGTTTTCCACTTTCCTTTCACTGTGTACTTTTAATAAAAAGATATTTGATTTTTTTAATGTCCCCTTAAATCCTTTTTAATGCGCTGTCAGGCTCCATTGGTCATCTTAACAAAGAGAACTTCTAAGAAGTTATAATTTTTCAAGTGCTGCAGCGGCAGCAGAGAATATTAGATTGTCTGCTGTATAACTGCCCTTTCTAATGCACTCACTCTCTGTCTCTCTCCTCTTGTATCATCATCATATTTTTATTCCACCCACTCCGTTTCCCTCCACCTTGAGAGAACAAAAAACGCCGCCCACTCTCACCTCCCACTTAAATCTTTGCTTAATTTCACGCCAGATAGGATTTCTGATTTGTCGCAGCTATATTTGATGTGAAAGAACCAATTCTGATGGTTTGCCCACTCAGTGTTGGTTTTTGCTTTCCACCTTACGCCACCAGATAGAGAGGATGGGTCTCTGCTGCATTAGGCCTAGCGGAGAGGTTAATGGTTTTGAACGTGGGTTTGGAATTTAGTGACTGAAAGTTTTTGGATCAAGTCCTAAAAATGTTTGGTTTCTGTACTTTCTATTGGCATATGACAGCAAAGTAGTTTTTGAATGTATTGTTGTTCACATTCGGGAAACATCCCCTTTGCTTTAGTGCATGTGCACTGTATGTAGATAGTAAGTCAGAGGGGCTGTATTTAGATTTAAACACATTATCTATATATAAATTGTAAATACAGTATATGCTCACTCGCAAACACAAAAAACATGCTAACTAGACTGATTCATTTCATACATACATCCATAATACAACATAAGCAAAATGATTAAAACATGAGCTTCTCTCTCTATATCTTTAACTGTGTCACTGACTCACTCTCTCAGTCACTGGCGGAGGAGGTGGAGGAGTCAACAGGCTCAGATGGTCTTTTACTCCTGATAGAGAGAGAACAGAGGAGCGAGCCAGCAGAGAGAAGCAGCGCTCACAGAGACAGAGAGACTACCGCACCATGATGGACTCAACTACATGAAGCTCACTGTGTGATTCGTCAAGTACTTAAAACGATGACAAAACACATCAGATCTTTTGGCTTCGGCTTCTTCACTTCTTTCTGAGTCCGTTCCAACTTTTCTGAAGCAGCAGGTGGAAAACACAGAGCTCCTAATGTTTGCACCAGTGTGGGATTTACAGCCTGTGTGAGGGTGTTTATTGCTGAACCAAGGCCCATTACCATTTGCTTACCACAGGCTCAAAATCCCCTGTTTGAAAGACATTAACTTCTCTTATTAAAGACTTTGTGAAAATGTCTCCATCTTTAAACTGATGGTGTTTGAGGAGTGTTCTGCCTGACTGAGTTTCATTCACTCTCTGCGAGCTCAGTCTGATCAGCATCAAATAAAAGGGCGGAGGAGCAGAAGCGACTAATTTTTGTTATTTTTAAACACACTTTGTTTTAAAGTCCACATGATTGGGTAAAGCTTATTTTTCTTTTTACCTAACTTTAAATGCTCATAACAAACTGAGTGACGGTGATCTCTTATGAATACTGTGTCATATCTTAGCTTCGTCGTTGCCACAGATTTTTTTTGCTGCAGCTCCGTCTGTTCAGATTTCTAGCACGACACCAGTGAAATGAAATGAAGTGAAATGTGAACAGAGCTCTGCACCGCACCCTGTTATTATACTTCAGCAGGCACAACATGCAGCCACATTTGTCAGACCCCAAATACTCCCAAGGTCTGTCTTGATTTCCTCCTCTCCCCCTCTCTCTCTGCTTTAGTCGCCTTTTTTTCACTCTTTTTCTCTTTTGCTTTACGTCCAATCTCTTCTCCCTCTCTGTTTCGCATGTTTTTCTCTTTACTACTGCTCAAGTGCACCCATCTGAAGGTTAAAGTAATGTCATTGGACGCAGGTATAGGACAAATCTGGCTGACAGGAAAACAATCTACACTTCACACTACCCTATTACTTTTTGGAGACGGTGAAAACTGTCATCACTCTCGTTAAAAACGAAAAAGAACACACTGACTGTTCTCTCTGCCCAAGATGCGGTCAGGGGCACGTAAACCGCTCCAGCTCCCGCTCTCAGTAGTTAGCTCAGTCTGCCCTGCCGACCCCGATTTCTCTGTTTCTCTCCCCCTCCCTTTTATTTAACTTCTATTCTGTCACAAATCCCCGGCTACATTCTCAATTCTCCTCACAGCTCCAGAAGTGTGACTATATTGGTCGCCCTGCTATGAGAATCAAAACCACTGAGTTTGCCTGCCTGAATGAGAACAAGAAGAACAACACGAGAGAATGTCACCCTCAACTGTTATCTCACCAATTTCTATCCATGAAAATAACAAGTTTCTTTGTGTTTATGACGTAAGAAGTCGTCCGTTTTGTTTACAGTTTATTCTGTGACACACACACGCACTCTATCCTCAGCTGCAATGTTCTCTTGTTGTGATCAGCAACTTCACTAACATTGATGAGTCCCGGTCCCAGAATAGTGTCTGTTTGTTCAAAGTTAATTCATATTTAACGTATCATACCAAATTGCCAATAATAATACACTTGGCAAGTGTGAAAGAGAAGGATGAAGGGTTGTGGAGATACGGGCTTGATGATGTAGTCAATAATAGATTAACCAGAAAATAGATTCTGCTGTATATTTATTTCTGGCGCGCTATTTGATTTAATCCTGCAGGAAATAAATGAGAAAAATAAATGTATTAAGACCATATCACATAATTTAACATGTGTAACAGCAGCTTATGTGCTCAACCCTGTTCTGTAAAAGCTTTCACCCACACAACCAGGGTCCATTAGTGCAGAGGCGCCCACTCGCACATTTTGACTCCTTTTTACTCTGTCACCCTTCATACGAGCTGTCACAGGTTGTTGTGAAGCAGGTTTGTGTCATGTACCGGTGACTGTGTGACCTGTTTTACATGACTTCCCTGTGTGTTGTTGAGTCACAGACCCTGCCTCCACCTGCTGTGTTTTTTTGACCCTCAACTGTTTTGTGGTACCTTTACTCCCCCTTCCCTCCCTCCTCTCCCACCAATTCTCTTACAGTCCCGTCACCCTCATCAGCATGTGTCCGGAGCAGTATGAGTGAGTATCTACGCCACCAGAAACTGCACCTCGTCGTCCAGACTGGAATGCCTTTTTAAAACACCACCACCTTTTACTCCCTCCTCTTCTCGCTCACCTCCCTCCTACGTCCTCACACCAACTACGCCATGACTACACTGCATGTTGCCTGCCTGCCTGACCGCCTGCCTCATCCACTGGCTGAACATGCAACCAAAAACAAAACTCACACTGTCTCCTTACCACCACCCTCCTTCTCCTCTCTAGAGCATCCGACTAGAATTCAGTCGCTCACCCGAGCAGTGGCTGTCAGAAACCATGCAACCGCACCGTAGATCATCCCACTCTCCTCTTTCTCTCTCTAGGATTATCAGATTGGTTTTCTAGGTGATGTTGTGAGGGGCCATTAGGCTATGTGCAAACAGGTCGTCTGTGCATGTGCCTGTGTGTGTGTGTGTGTTCAGAGGTTGTATGAGCATGCCCAATCTGATTCATCTCCATTACCCCCCACCCTTCATTTCCAGGCTGTCCCCGTCACCTCAGTTCTCTCATGATGACACCCATTCCAGGATAGAGCAGTATGCCAGCAGGTACGCACGTTCCTCCACCGTCATCGCATCATGTCAGACGCCACAAACACACATCGAAAGAATTGATAACTGTGTTTGTATGTTGCACATGAAAAGAATCACAAGAGCTTGATTATGGAACAAGAACTTTTAAAGGACCATGCCAATGTTTTTCTTTGTTTGAGATGATTTATTACAAATAACAAAGATGATTTATTACAAATAACAAAGATGATTTATTACAAATAACAAAGATGATTTATTACAAATAACAAAGATGATTTATTACAAATAACAAATACTTTTTATTGTTTCAAACCATTTTCCAAGGACTGCCAAAAACTCCCTCACTCCAACTCACATTTGCCGAGCCTTTAAAATGCATGACTGCAATAATGTAATCTACCTAAACAATAATCTAATATTGTGAACAATAAAAAAACTAATTAAATCTCTGTACAGTGATTTTAAAAGCATGGATTAAGTGGAAAGCAGCAGCAGCCTGGAAGCAGCAGAAATTACATTTACCAATCAAAACAAGGTTAAAAAACACCATATTACGTTATTTTAAAGGATCAGCAGAAATTTTAATGTATAAAAGGATTTGCAGTAGATGGATTTAAATTAAATGAAAACCAAAAAACGTATTCAGTATCATAACAAGCCTTTATTGCAGATATTTTAAATAAAACCCATCGGAATATGCTTGAAACAAACCATTTTTTTATATCAGAAATCCAATCTTATTACAGTATCTATACAAACACAACACCCGGTGTTGTTTTTCCATTAGCTTGAAGAAAAGAGAAACAAATATGCTCAGTGATGGAGCGAGCTCTATGTGCTGAAGAAATCCTTCACACTTTTTGTGAGTGATCGCACTGTGCGCCAAACAAAATAACAACGGGTACAACAAGACTCATAATGAATGGATTCAAGCTGCAACTTTCTCAAGCTCCCACAACCATCTGACAACGTAACAGCGTTTGGCTGCTGACCAAACTTTCTGTTGGGTTGAACGTCTGCAGACAGCTCACTGTCCCAGTGGCTGCTGGTCAGCTGACTGAGTCGCTGTAGCCAGTTGATTCATCGCTCACGTCTTTCTTCTCACAAGATTATTCTTTTTCTGGCAGCTCATTTTTTTGGAGCTCATCGTCTGTGACGGGCGTGATTCTTGTCCGTTTGACAGATTTTTGTTAAGATGTCGGGAGACGTTAAGAACTTGGTTTCACTTGTCAAAAATGTATTTCCTCTGTGGCAGACGAACACATCACAGCAGCTTTCAGAATCTCCTGCAGGTTAAACCGGACGAATCAAACACTTGTAATGCAGATTTACTGTAAAGGACCTGGCAACAGTCATTATCTTAGCAAAAGTAAGTTAACAAAAAACAAAAGAATGTAGTTACACTGTAAGTCATTGCGTTTTAAAAGAAAGGTCTAGTGAAATAAACAACCTTCATATTCATGCCTCCGCGTCCTTGACAGCCGGTGGCCGGAGGCAATGTATTTTTGAGTTGTCCATTCGTTGGTAAATCTGCCCAACTCCTGTGAACACAAAATCTCAAGAATGCCTTTAGGCAGAGAGAATTCAGATTTAGTAAAAACATCCAGTTGGATTCAAGGAAGAACTCATTAGAATTTGATTCTCAAGGTTAAAAATTCAAGGTCCCGTGACCTGCATGAGGCAATTTCCTCAAAAGTTCACAACTTCACTTGCAAAGACATTTTGTAGATTGAACCTGCAGTGGTTGACTGGAGCATACAACCACAGGGTGTTAATTCTTATGTATTCTTATTTTTATATATTATCTAATATTAGGGCCAATGCAGTTTCCTCACGGTGAGTTTTTTTATGTTCACTCGATTTACTTGTGTAAAAATGCGTGGGCGCTCTGCCTAAGCCTTCTAATGGTAAAGAAAAACCCTGCATATATTAAAAGTCAGATAACTGTCAGCACACTCGCTTAGTGAACCTAGACAACATGCAGCTACCTCCCACTATAGCTGCTGACATTATAGATTTACTGCTGTGATCAGAGTAGCAACAAATTGGCCCGATGGCTTTTTCTTTTTCCTACACCCACTTCAAATGATGCTGCGGCGAACATCAACACACCCATGTACACAGCGTGTGTGCTGCAGTAAATCATCGCCAACATCCCCAAACTAATGTTCTGCTGCACCGTGACTGAAAACCTGTCATGTCTGATTTTGAGAGGAGTCTGAATGTTAAGATGCTCAAGTATCACACGTTGCATGAATCCCATCGAGCCCTTTGATCGAATCTCCGATCTTATCATCTCAAAGCAGACAGCTACGTCAAAACAGACCTCAGCGTGTCCTTTCACACGAGGCTCTAATCATCAGTGGTCCTCTGATGCGGCGCTGCTGTGTTCGGCCTGTAACCTTCCATCGGTCACGCACCATTAACCTTCGCTCAGTGCTTCTGACGGCACTGTTTTATCAGCGCTGACACAGACATGAGGCGTATGAATTTCAATTTTGACTGAACTGTGGATGCTGACGTTGGAAATTATGCTGTGTGGATACTTGTAGATTTGCATTTTAAAATGATTTGATTCATGCAAATCTAACATAAATTATCTCAAACCAACACATCACAACTACAGTATCTCCTGGTTTAATGCCCTTTCATCCCACAGTACAGGATGTGGAACATATTATTAACCTGCTGGACGACCCCGCTGCTGTATCACAGTGTGACTGAACACAGGCTCTAATCAGGGGACCGGGTCATTAGCATGACTTCTCTGTGTGGATCTATGACCAATGCTCCCGCAGACACAGTCTTAAAAATATGTCTTATAGTCTGTTCACGCCTTTGTCATTTATCCTGCTCTAGGACTAAAGATCTTCATTGCTGTGACTCTGAGACCCCCCTTTGTTTACACTGACGTTCAGAAATGGAATGAGATGATGACAGCTTTTAAACGTGTGCGAGTTAGTCCCTGATGTTTTCTTGTTGTTTTTTACCTCAGGTTGGCCCAGATGGAGCGCTCCAATGGCTCACTGCCCACAGACAGCAGCTCAGCCACAGGAAGCATGTAAGTGACTGTTTGTCATTTCCAATATTACATTTTACACATTTGGACATTTCTTACAACATGAAACAAAAAAACGTTTCACATGTATTTTTTTCTTGCTTTTAAATATCACCTTATATCCAAACCTCTTTATTCTTATAATTACACTTTGGAAGCTTAACATTCAATTTTTATTCCTCGCTGATTTTGTTTTTATATGTACATATTTGTTGATTTTTTTTGGCTTCATCTTATCAAAACCAGCCAGAGACAGAAACAAGCTGGCCTCCACATTTCTGAAACGAGTGTGCGGGAACTGGAAGAGCAACAGAAATGTTGAGTGAGGAAGAAAAAAAGACAATGGGATGTGGTTGAATAAGACAGGAAGGAGACGGCTGTGGGAGAATGGATTAGAGTGCCAACAATGAGCAGTGAGAGTGATTGGTTTCAGGATCTCCGATAACGACCAGTTATCTCTGATGACAGGAGATGAGAACATGGCAGAGGATAAGAAATCGGGGGGGGGGGGGCATCGGTCTCTGCTGTGATCATGTGCATGTCTCCTACAGACCATTCAGGTTGAAGGGCGCATTAGTCTGCCTTCCCAACCCAGATCCTAATCAGGGGAATGAGCTCTTAAGGTTCAAACGCCCTCTGAGCCGACGGACACAAGCTCTTGTCACTTTGCTCTTGTCTTGTAGATCTCAAGATTTCCCAGATCGCCTTTACAGGGTTGGAAATCCGCAACGTGTGTGTGCATGTGTGAAATCTGTGCATGCTGTGCAAAAGTCGACAATTTCAAGCAGCACAAAGCAACAGAAGAGAGGGGGAGGGAAACGTGTGTGGAAACAGAAATAATTGTCACTTGTCTTTTCGATTTCAAGATTTCCCTGATCCCAGATCTACTTCACAGATTTGGAAATCAGCAGTTTGTGGATGTATGTGTGAAATCATTGAAATCAATCATTTGTGCTTGAGAATGTACGACATTGAGAGTGCAGATTTTTTTTTTTTTTAAAGTAAGAAAGTAGCACAAAGCAACAAAAGAGAGACGGAGGGCATAAAGATCGTTGGTATGAAGTTTTGAGGCTTTTAAAAAGAATTCTTTAAAAATAAAATGTTACAGCACAACAGTGGATACACATGGGAAGATGTTTAAATCCTTTGAGAGTCTTCAGTAAAGATGAATTGATGCTTCATCATCGGTCTGCTGTGGGTTGTATTCCTCGCTGAAGTTGCGTGCATCGTGCAGACCGCTGCTCCCACACCTCACCTCGATCCGACCTTGCTTCTTAGAATAGGGTTCTTCTGGAACAGAAGGTGTTTTCAACTGAAGATTCCAAAAAGCTGCGTTTCTCCGGTCTCTTTCTTTTCAGGAGATCAATAGAAGAAAAGAAGAATAGAAAGAGGAAAAAATTGTGTCGGTGATCAGGGGAAGGTGGAGGCAGAAGTGGATTTATTTTCCTCTCAAAATACTTGTAATGCGGGACAAACACATTATCCCCACTCCTCCTCTCTCTCGCTTTTCTGCTTTGTACTCAGGCTTTACTTAAGAGAAGCAGCCATTATTTTTATTTTTTGCCAGCTCTGAAACAACTAACAGGCTCGAACACAAAAGTGTGGAGTGCTAATGAGGTGAGGAAGATGATGGCTGGATGAAGGCTCATAGTTTTAACAGCGGAGGAAAAAAAACAACATTTTCTCTCACTTATACATCAGTGTCATTTCTCTGAGAGTTTCATTCTGTGCTTTTCTGCAAAACAACATCAGCTATAATGTAGCTGTGAAGAAAAAAAGAAAACAAAAGACCGAGAAAAAAGGAAATATCAGTTTTTTCCAGAACACATTTGACGAATGGCTTTGTTCTTATCAACATGAAGCACAATATAGCACCTGTGTGTGTGTGTACTGTTCAGAAAATGTCTGTTTGTCTGTGTGAGGAACACAGCTCTCGTAAACTGTTAGGCTTCACATTTGGTAAGTGGACAGAGTTGAACATGTCGTCTTCGGTTAAACTACCATTGGACTGACAAAGACATTCATGGTAGTAGTGGGTGCTGATCGCCGTCATGACAACAACATTCATGGGATCCCTTCCTGTTGGTTTTGTTGCTGCCTTGCTTTATGTCGAGCTGAATTACTGAGCTTTTATTTTGAATAGTTGTGTCGCTTACAGACCTCTGACATAGCTGACCTGCAGTGTATGATAAAATAACACCAGTTAAGTAAATCATTGAAACTTATACAAAACACACGTGAGCAGTATTAAAGCAAATTCTCTCAAATCTATACCATCAAATCTTTGCTGCAGATAAACCAGGTTGGATGAACACAGCGTTTTCTACCTTCACTCTGCACACAACATACATACAAACTAAAAAGTGACTTTATATTGTAGAGCTGCTTGAGGAGAACTCCGTAATGACGAGGAATAATTCTGAAGTAGATAAGATAGATATGATTCTGCTGAGCGTCACCACAGCCCATTCAAAGAGGCATGGATACGGATACTGCACCAGTGCTTTGCCAAATGTGTATCATAATGTGCCTCTCACTAGAACATTGGGTTCTGAGAGATGATATACATTCTTGTGTATTACGCTCGGAACAGTTGCACTAATTGGAAATGAAAATGAAGTACATCTTTACAACTTTTTATCCTCTTATAGATTATTATTGCAGTTTTTGCGGGAGATAATTTATTCTTATATGGAGGATACTTATTCTAATCGAGTCCCTACACATTGACTCTTAATTGTGACTATGAGCTAATTAATGTTGAATCATCTTTGATGGAAATTGGTGCTTGTGAAACTATTTCCATTACAGCTTGAGTTATTACAGGTCTTTTCAGGGAAACGTTTCCTTTTTTCTTTTGCGATTCTGCCCCTGTAAATTTACATTCACTTAAATGTCAATAAAATGCCGTTGACATTCATTTTAAAAGGATAGAACTGGGGAGGATCCTTGTCTTTTACTCAACAATGTGTCCAACAAGGCGACTTTTAAGGAGAAGGGACTTTGAAATCTTATTTTAAAATGGCAGCATTGTGGTTTCGTAGATACGACATGAAACAGTCCCCTCAGCCGTATCTCTTCACTAAAGACAGAGCTATTGTGCTGTCACACTTCTCAGCTAAGAAATAACTCTCCTCCTCCTTCCTTCTTTTAATGCCTTTGATTTGTGAGTGTTTGATTGTCTCTCCTCTCTTTTTTTTGGGAGATTTATTCTTTCCCGCCTCCAGCTGATTCCACGCGAGCCCCTTTGTCTGTCACTTGTTGGTTTTGAGGATGCACACTCGCACAAACGATCCCCCAACACACGACTGTACAGGGGGAGGCGTCTTCCTGGCCGTGTGTCTGCAACACAGATGCAACACGGAGGACTGTGGTGGCCAATTTGCACGTTTGGCTCTCGGATGTGTCGTCTGATCTTTCACAGCCTGCATGTGCGTTTGTGGCCTCAGTGCTTGTTTCATTTTTGTCCTGTGTAGCTTTTATCTAAAAGGGAATCCTTAATTAGGAAGTCAGTGTTGCCTGCCTCCTCTGACCTCCAGCTACGGTACAATGTTGTCACCAGCGCCTCAGGACACAAACTGAGGGCCGAGACTCTCAGCTTTCCCTTTTTTTCCTCCCGCCCGGCTTTTTTTGTTTGGTTATCTCTCGCTTTCCAGTCTCTCCCCAGCGCTGTCCCCTTTTACTTGTCTTTCATATTTTTGCCCTTTACGCACGTCGCTCTCTCTTTAATTTCTCCCCCCCTTTTGTTTTCCACCAACCCCCCTTCTCTCTCTCGTCTCCTTTCATCATTTTTAGATGTAGTCTAATCATGTTTTACCTTTGGGCCCAGGCAACCTTCAGACTGAACGCCAAGCACAGAAGTAAACATTGAAATACTTTTCTTTGAAGCCCTGTGTCATAAACAATACACCCCACAATGAGCAGTCCCCAAATGTGGAGGTCCGCAGAGAGGGAGGTTTTTTAATATCGCACCAGAGGGGAGGAATGAAAGACATGCAGCCTCTGTCTGAGGGACAGGTCCCTGCTTTTTCTCTCATATTCCTGATTTCCTTGTTTCTCTTTCTTTATCTCGCTGTCTACTCAGCTGATATTCAGCTTTAGAGGAGCTGCTTGCTTTGTGATACAACAGCTAGAAACCAGAAGGCTCAACAGTCTCCTTAAATGCAATCAAGCTGCACACACTCATAGATATCAGTTCCCTAGAGGCCAATTTTTTTTTATCAAGATCCATAAATTATTATTGGTAAAACTGTGAAATTGTCGAAAAACTCCATATCTAGAAATGTAAGAGAAAGCATAAAAAATCCAGGATCTGTTCCAGATCTGCACCAAAGTTTTATGGGTTCTTCTCTGACCCATACCACTTCCTTCCACCAAGTTTTGTGTAATCTTGCCTACCATCAGACAAACAAATGGAGGGGGTGAAAACATAACCTCATAATCAGGTCCGGAGACGATCGTCAGACAGAGACTGTAAAAGTTCCCTCAGCTGCGTCCTCTGCTCACCCTCACCCAACATGACACCAGTACCCACAATGCCTCGCAGCTAATAGCCTCGCCATTCATCACCATTATTCACATTTGATACCCCCCCCACACTGAAGCTCTTCTCCTCTATCATCGTCTTTCTTCTTCTTCTTCCGCAGTCCTTTCTACTGCACTTCCTCTTTGTCCCAGTATTCCTCAGCAGCTGATTTGTGAGCCGGCTCTAGCCTCTGTATAGTGCCCGTCTTCACATGTAATAATCCCCCCCTTCCTGCCGTCCTCTGGGCTCATCTTGCCCGCCACATTGTCCTGCTGCCTCTTCCTGTTGTCAGGGACCTGCCTAATTGGTCACTCGCTTGCACAAGAGCTCATCCGCCAGCACCCAGCAGGCCTCGCTGCCACCTATTTTTGATGCAGAAAACAAACCTTTCCTCATCATCCCATGTCAGTCCAGAGTGAAAAACATCTTTCTCTATCTGCCAGCTTTCTTTATGTTGCCTTTCAGCAGTTTCAGCATGGCGTCAGTTGTCATGTTGCTGGGAAAGTGATGAATAACTACAAGCATCTGTACGTACATACTGTATCGCAAAAGTTGGGGAAGTTATGTTTCAAGAAAGAACTTCTGGAAAGAACTGTAAATACAAAAGGTGTGGGAGATCAAAAAAGCTGCGAGTGTTTTCGTCTTTAATGGAGAAACATTGTGTTCACTCCATATAAAATTTGTTTCATGTCTCTTTCATCGGCCGTACCTTTCATTTCACAAAAAAACCCATGAAATGGTTGAACCCAAGTTTGACGCAAATCCAATTTTTAAAGGAAGAAATGTTCTGAACTTCAGTTATGAATCACAGAAGGAGCCGAGGCTGGTTTATGGTTTTAAAGGAAAAAACTTTTATTCTTGAAGAAGGCTACTGGCTTGTCTCTTTTAGTGATAGCCTCATTCTCTGTACCTCTCACCAGCGCTCCACTCGCCCCAATCACAGATATTATAAATACTTAATATTTGTAGCCTCTCTTTTTATGCATGTGGTGATAATGGCATTCTGAATATCTTTGCTGCACACTCATTGATTGTCTCCCATGGTGTGATTCAAGGGTGTCTTATGAAAAACTTCAGACATTTCAGCTTGTCAGCCTGCCCTCCGGAGCCTATTTGATTAACGCGCTCATTATAGCCGAGGATTATACACTCACTTACGCCCAGATAAGTTTTTGTGAACGGAGTAAATAGCAAGTTGCTGCATGTTTTAAAAGGTGTCAAGTGTATGTTTATAACATAAAAACAAACTCATAATAAATCAAAAACGTACAGATCAGAAAACAGGAATTAGTGCTTATTCTTAATTTTCTTGTGTACTCATGAGTTATAACTCACTTTTCATTTATCAGTGTATAAAATATAAACAGTTATCTTGTCTCGCTATAAGAGCGTTTTTATTTTATTTCTATAATCCCAAAATGTCCTTTAAGCTTATACTATATACTATGGGAAGTGCAGCAGACTTTAATATTCATAACAGAACTTGTGGTCTGATTAAGATGTATTGTTTTAATGTGATGTAACAGCAGGATATTAAAGTAACACTATGCAACTTTTTTTTTTACCTTTAAATAAAAGCATAAGGGGTTCACTGAAATGTGTCACTTCCAGTCCTCACCCATTACATCTCTTCTCGCTCGGTGTAATTTTTGTGAGCGGGTACGATCTCCAGAGAACTCACTGATAGTCAGCGCCTTAAACCATCAGAATCAGGCCCATGAAGTTCAAGATTAAATAGATCAGTTACACGATTCAAAAACCAACATTTATCTAAAGATTTCTAAACAGAGTTTGGTGCATTTGTTACAGTGAGTCGGGCTACACAGTCTGATTTGTAGGCTTTGTTTTCTCTCTCAGTGAAAACCACTTTATCACTCCCACAGTGAGCCTGACAGAATTAATCACCACGTGTGGCTGCAGAGGGCGCTGTCCCTCAGCAAAGGTCACTTATAGGTGCTTTAACAGCAGCAGACATTTGAACGAGCTGGATTCATGAAAAATACCCAGATATAGTTATAGTGGATAGAAAGTCACAGGTGGAGCTGCCATGCCACTAAACTTTCTCAGCCAAACTCAAGTTGTCAATGACAATGGCTTTTTAAACAGTCATCTTTTCTGACTGTGTGTGTCTGGTTGTCAGGTTTTAGTCTTCAGGGATGAGGTCGTTGTTCAGAGTGAAGGTGACAGCTGTGCCCCGCTCACTGAGATAGCACATAAAGAAACGGACACACACATGTACAGATACACACCAGCAGCCATTTCTCCTCCCTCCCTCCCTCCCTCCGTATCTTTCCATCTGTCTGCCAGCCTCTCTCTCTCCTCTCGGCTCCCCCCTGTCTCCTCACAGCTCTCCCTCATTCCACTTATCAGATCGGTGGAGACTGACATGTCTGTGTTCCACCAGGGATCATTGAGCTTACAGTGTCACAGACCTACAGTTGCTAGGATCTGGAAAATCGCTGTGGCAGCTATATCACAATCTTTGTTTAGATTAGGTGCTGTCGTTTTTATCTGTATTTTCAGAAATGTGGCATTTTCCTCACACACACCTTTGTTACAACCTAATGTTATTAGCTGTCCTGTGAAACTGGTTCATGAAAGAAGACAATGACCTCCTCTGAAGCAGCTATACAGGAAGTGAACTGAAATGATCTAACTGGGACAAAATGACTTTTCTCCATAGGGACGACGAGCATGCCCTGATCCTGCAGTACTGTCAGACGCTGGGAGGGGAGGGCTCCCCCTGCAGTCAGCCCCAGAGCCCTGCGCAGATCCTCCAGGCCGTGGAGAGGGAGGAGCGGGGTGAGCTGGAGCGGATCATCGCTCGGCTGGAGGAGGAGCAGAGGTACGGCACTTTATCATGCAAGCGACGTGAGATCATTCAGAGTGACAAGAGGTTTTTCAGTATCACTTAAGTCCATGGATAATCTCAAGATTTCTTCAAGATCAATAAGAGGTTAAGACGATTGAAGAGTCCCCCCTATGGAACCCAAGTGTTTCAAATACTTAAAAATCTGTGGTAATCTCTTCTTTTCTTATTCTCGTGTACTGTCTACTCTGCTTCCTGGTGCATTTCCAGTACACATGCTCATTGTCACTCTCCAGTGCACAATACATAAACATACGCACACTTCCCGATCCCCCCTCCTGTCTCGCTCGCCAACACCTTCCTCGGTTTGATTAGTAAATGGCGGCGGCTCAGAGTCAGTGTACGATGTATTGTTGGGGAGATGCTCAGACGGTAGCTCGACTGGGGTGATTTAACACTGATTATCCACGTACGCGGGCGCTCCAGGAGAGCAGAGGGAGGAGGGAGAGAGCGAGCTTTACCGCCAGGCTCATAAATGCCAACTTAAGTAAAGCACTGCAGCTTATGGTTCTGCACCGACAGAGGGGGTGAGGTGGGGAGAGAGGCGAGAGATTCGGCGGGGGGTCCTTTATGTTTGTCTTTCCATTTTGAAAAGGATTTCACTGAGAAAGGAGAGGAGAGTGTGGTATTTCCATGTGGCACCCCACTGTTGAGTCCTTCAGGAATTAAGGAAATAAAAACTATAATATCCCCTACAAGGGTAGACACTTTTTTTTCTCCATGATTTTCTTCTACCAGATTTGGATTACTGTCTTGATCTCTCTTACATCGCAACCCCGTAGATGTAGCTGTTTTTTTACACGATCCATCCATCCATTATCTATGCCAGTTATCCTTTGAGGGTCGGAGGTGGAGCCAATCCCTGCTGCATGTCTTCATTTACCTGTGGGAGAAAACTCAAACTCCACAAGTGAACTGGGATTTGAACTGGGAACTTTCTTGTTGTGATGCAATAGTGCTGACTACAATCTTTCACCAAGATCCATACAGTATTTTATAGAATTGACTAAAATGTGAAAGAAAAGTGATTAAAAAACTATTCCTGGATCTGCACCTTTAACTGGATCAGCACTGAAATTTAATGAGTTCTTTTCTGGCTCACGCTCCATTCCTAAACCAATTTTGGTGGAGAAGGGTTCAATACTTTTTGTGTAATCCATCTTACAACCGAGGATGGTACTCCATTCCTTTGCCAAGGCCCAACAGTCGCCATAAATTCCATAAGATCAGTTATCAGTTCTCTAAATAAGCCTGTTTTTATCAAGACAATTCCTGGGCCTGCCCCCTGAACTGGATCCGCACCGAACTTTAGTGGGTTCTTCTCTGACTCATACCTCATACTTCTATTAAGGGAAACTGTCCAGTGGTTTTTGCATAACCCTGCTAACAAACATGCAAACCAACAAATAAACACATGAGTGAGAACATATTAACAATTTGTGAACCACATATTTGCAACCATAGGACCACACAAGCCCCTCTTGTGCTAGTAGTTGCAACATGCCCAGCTTTCAGGAACGTGTCTGAATACAGATGTGGTGTGTACATACTGTTTCTTCTTTATCCTTACTCCCAGGACCCTGCAGAGGGAGTACGAGCAGCTGAAGGAGCAGCATGGCCAGCGTGGGGCCCCCGCCGGGAGCCCCTGGGAGTCGGATGGCTCCTCTGCCCATCCCGACGAGGCCGATCTGCTCGCAGAGGCCAAGCTACTACGACAACACAAGGGCCGTCTGGAGGCCCGCATGCACATCCTGGAGGAACACAACAAGCAGCTGGAGTCTCAGCTCCACCGCCTCCGACAGCTACTGCACCAGGTGACATGACACTTCCACTGATCTGTTGGACAGTTAGTGGCTGAGAGGAGCCACAGATGGATTTCATAGACTCATATGTTGTCATTCCTCGGGGGAAAAAAAGGGCTCCCAGGTCTTTCTGGATGTTGTGAATTTCTCTTTGACAGCTGAGAGTGGCTGAAATTCAACTCAAAGTTCAGCTGTTACAGAAAACAACACATACAAGGACTTAAAACCTCAAGCGGTGCGATCAGGATAGTTCTAACTGTAAAAGGAAGACTGGCAGTGCTGTTTCACTACAATTTGTAAAATATATATAGCAACTGCAGAATAACAATAAATTAAAAGAATTCATTGTTTTTTTAAAAATATGTCATCAACATAAACTTCTCCCCTTATTAACGCAGACTTGCCCTCAGCCACAACGTGATAACCCATCAGTTTTCATCCTCAGCTTTTTGTGCCGTTTGAATAACAAAACTTGCTCATCAATGCTCAGATTAGATCCTAATCAAATCATTAACATTCCACAGAGGAGCGCGGCATCCATCTCCAGCCCCTCCATCGATAACTCTCAGATTTGTTTGTGTGCAGCCTAATTGCTCACTAAGGGTGGATTTGTTTGTGCACGGTAGAAAATGCACAACCTCCCAAAACCAAACAACGGGCGATCCTGACGAATCAGCCTGAGCAAACACAGGAGCAGGTATTGGCTCTCTGGTAGATGTGGAGCTGAAAGCACAGTCGTAACTCACGACAACTATGGCCAGAGGAAGGCGGCTGAAGTGACTCGGCAGATTTTTAATGGATGAAGAGCAACTTTCTTTTATTATTATTGTGTTATTTTTTCTTTTGGAGGGGGTGCATTTTTTATGTCTGTATTTGATAGCAGTTATAGGACAGACAGGAAATGAGAGAGACAGAGTTGTGCAGTAAACAGTCCGACCAGCCAGCAGTGAAACAGGGGACCTGCTGCTCTGGTTGTTTGCACCCATAAAGCATGCACCCTGACCAGTCAGCCATCAGGCCGCCCCATTCACTGAAGATCAACACGGTGCTTTCCAGTCTAAAGCCGCTCAGTTTGGGAATAGTCTCCCAATACAGCTGCTTTCAGAGCTGCACTGAGCTCCAGATAATCTCCTGAAAATATCCAGAGGGGCTGAATGTGAAAAGGCAAATGTCTGAGTTGTGACGAACATTCGCCAGAGTCCTGGTGAGTCCATGTGAGAATACAGCAGGATGATTGCTGATGTTTTTAGCACGCAATGGATGCTGAACTGAAAAAAACCTCAAAAAATACAAATATCAAGTATCTTACACGTAGAACACGCTGACCAAACGGTCACCATTTTTAAAATGCAGCATCAGTTCAGACAGAAATTTAGTTGACATGCATTTCATGTGTAATGTCTCATCTTTTATATTTTATCTGCTGCCTCGTGTGTTTTGTTTGTATCTGTCTCTTTGATTTAATCACATCTACGGCAAAGCACTTTGTGTGAAAGCTTCCATGTAAATGAAATTTTCTTACTTATTTACTTACACTCTAAATAACAACTCCGGCTGCCTGACATTTGAATCCACCCCCAGAGTCCTGACGACACGTCAACATGTCTTTCCGTCAACTGCAGCGTTATTGCCAAGCTGCAGAGCAATAACCCCGGCCAGCCTGATGGCACGCTTTAAAATCCACACTCCTGAAAGGCTCACCACAGCCCTGACCCCTGCTATTCTGAGAGCAGCCTCCAGACGCTGGCTGCGCTCCGGAGACGTTTCCAACATGTTAGCCTTTACTGGCGCTGGCGGGCACCAGGAGATGAAGGAGGAGGAGGATAACAGGGTTGATGCGAGGCGGGGGGGGCGACGTCATTGATTTGGTTTCTTGCAGTCGAAAAGCTGAAGGGAAGAGGGAACCTGGGATTCTGCTGTAAATGTCAGTGGAGTGTTTGCCTCTGTGCATCAGAGCAGCAGAGCGTGTTTTCAAACATCGATCTGCCATCCTCAATGTTTGAGCCACAAAAAAAACCCCTCTTGTTAAATTGATTGTTTTAAAATAGTGTTTTATTATGTTTTTTTTGGAGTAACTGTGCTTTTTCTGTCTTTTTTGTTTTGTTTTGACGAATTCCCGGTTTAATCAGAACTTTCTTATCAGTGACTTGAATCTGTTTATTTTTAAGTCTGAGCCGAGGTCAGTCTGAGGCTGCAGGGACGTCACAGGGAAAACAGTGGAACCAAATGAACAGTGATACAATCTGACCCCTTGAAAAAACCTGATTATTAATATTATTGTTCAGACAATTGAAGGTCGTCTGGATTCACACTGTGGTCGCTGCACAGATCAGCCTCAGCTGCAAATAAAAGCCTCAGCTACGGGATTTGTGCAGAAACCTGCGGATAGAAAGCCAAATATATGTCTTTCATATTTTATTATGGACATAAGAATATTTGTTCTCTTAAGCCAGGATCCATGATATTTATTTTTATTTTTCAAGTTATCAGTCCTGTTTTTGTCCTTTCCATTGCTGCACTCAGGGAAATACCTCAGCGTTTTCTCCAGAACTCTATAAATCTATGAAAATGGTTGTTTGAGTGTGATTCATGCTGTAGCAGGTGAACCTCAGCTTGGGACTGGCCAGAGACATGTTTATTAGAAATGTTGTTGTAGACATGACAGCCTCGTCGTTGCGCCCCCTGGTATTTCCCCGTCTCCGCCTGCCACAGTGACGCACGGCTGAGTTCGAAGTTGTCGAGCGGAAGCCAAGCGGTATAATTATGTTTAACTGATGAAGTTCTCTTTTTCTGTCTCTGTCTCTCAGCCGGAGGTGGACGCAAGGGTAAACGGAGTGTCCTCTCCCACTGGACAAGACAGAGGGCCCCTGACTGAGAACTCAGGTGAGACACTGAAACCTCAGAGCAACACAAACACTCATCATTGATCTTGACATAAGAAGCAATGTGCTTTGAATTCAGGCTTTTAAAGCATTAAGCAGATCAGACACTCACTGTGGCACCTTATCCAAGACTTTCAGTGGTAACTTCAAAGCCCTGTAACCCTAACCCTGTGTGTGTGTGTGTGTGTGTGTGTGTGTGTGTGTGTGTGTGTGTGTGTGTCTTCAGATGAGCTGCTGGAGTCCCACAACAGCAGCTCTGACCTGGCAGATGTAATGGAGCAGATTAACAACTCCTTCCCTGCATGCAGTCGTAAGTTTCCCCACTCCTCCTCCTCCTCTCCTCCAGCGTGTCTCCCCGGCCTCTGAGGGCAGATTTGTGTTTCGCCACAAGGTCGCTTGTCAGCAGAAAAATAGTGCACGCCGCTCCGTTTAACTGTTAATAACTCATCCCTCACAAGGAAAATTCACAAGTGGCGCATAAGATGTGTGATTTAGGCAAGTTCGTACCCTCTTTAAACAGTAATATAAGAAATCATTTAGTCTCTGTAGACTTTATTTCCGTTAAAAGGATTTAAAGGCTGCAATGATTGTTTAGATCAACAACCACTGTGCAGATTTAAGGCAAGAGTCTGGAAACCCAAAGATATTTAGTTCACGTTCTAATATGACAGAGATGAGCAGAAAATCTTCACTTTAAAAACAGGAACTAGAAAAGGTTTTGTATTTTTGCTTGAGATGTTACTAAGCTGATGAATCAGTAATCAAAGAAACCGCCTATACATTTTCTGTCAATTCACGACTGTAATTGATCAAATAAATAACTTTTTCAGACAAAATGACAGTTTAAGGTTTTAAAACTAACATATTATGATTGATACAATAACAAACTGGGATTTGTAGATGTGTGAGATTGTGAAATATGCATTTTCTTATTACAAGACAATCTTGAGTCCCCAGTTTGAGCACACACCATCACACATCAAATAAAAACTTCACATTCCATTTCTCATCTACATAGATCATTTTACAGATGTTTGTTTTATTCCTTTTGTATTTAAATGAATTCAGGTCATCAGTTGTCTATTTTGTTTATCCTTGTCAGTAGTTTCAGGCCGTGATAAGAATGATGTGGCGGCGATAGATGAAATAAAAACAGACGAAAGGAAGAAACGGTGGAACGTCAACGATGCAATCAACATCATTTACATTTCAACTAGACTCATCCTCCGTCTTCTGATTGTCTCCTTCACTTCTGCACAACTTGTGTCAATCCCTCTCTCTTCTCTGTCTCGTCCTTCCCGGTCTCACACACTCGCCTGCTCTGCTTCACACTGTCATTCAGCTTTGTTTGTAGATGGTGTGTGTGTGCGTGTGTGCGTGTGTGTGATATGTATAAATAAATGGCACTTTGGCACTTTTCATGAATTGAAAAGCTCTGGTAAACAGTGATATACAGGCTGCTCTTTACAAACCTGTGTGCTGTGTTCAGGCTTCTCTGCATTGTCACTTTGAGTTTTTGATAAAACATTTTCTCAATTACAGATTTTCAATAGAGCCCTGAGGTTTTTCTATTATTCATTTTTATTTCAATTTAGTTTTCATACGATCAGGAAAAACCTCAGACCCTCATTACTCTTTATAACAGAGTTTGATAGAATTTCCACCTCTGGGGAAGTTAAGTAAAATAAATAAAATGATTCAGAAAAGTGACGCAGGCCTTTAAATTGCATTGGGTTTTGTTTTTTTTAAATTAAAACTCCTATGAGGGCTTTAGTTAGAAATCCATTTTTAACAAGCGTTTGGTTATTGCACAGCTCGGGGGCACGGCAGCGACCGAGCAGCACAGGCCCGATTGTGTGCATGAGTACGTAGAGGGGACCCACAGGCTGATAATTTTGTGTTGACTGATGAATACAGAGATGAACTAGGTTCAATTGTTTAACTGCTCTATTGTCTCTTTGTTTCATCTCCCACAGCCTCAAGTCTCCCCTCAAGACCACAGGTGAGACCAAGCTCTTCTGCATAATCCAGTCAAGTAAATCAGTCCCAGGAGTCAATAACTACATATTTTCCCTTGTGATTTTCACCTCTTTCTCCCTCGGTGACCATTATGCTCCAGTTTACCGCTTCCAGTATTTCACACCTCTGAGCTTAATCTGAGTCAGAGCAAGTTAAGGCATGGCTGAATAGGTTTAAACGCGTTTCCATTTCCAAGAAGACAGCTATGTTTTCTGCCTCATTCACACCAAGCTCCTAACGGACTGTAACAGACGTGAGGAACTGACGCCTATTCACCACCTCTCAGAATCCATTACTGAGTTTGAACTCTTGATGTTAACAGACTGTGACGTCTTTCAGATAAACGAGGCAGATTCACCTTTTGCACTTGATGTTCCGTGGATCTTCCTGAACCCAGACAGACTGTTGTACTTCAGTGTGTGTAGGATTTAGAAGGATTTATCTGCAGACATGCAAAAAAATATTTATTATTATCTTTTTGTTACTTTTAAATCACCTCAAACCAAGAATCTGTGTATTTCCATTACTTTAGAATGAGCCTTTTAGGTTATCCCCTGTATGTAAAGATGGGTATAAGTATATAAGTAAAGGGTATAAATCCTGCCTCATCCATGTTAATGGATGGGATATGGGCCAAACTAAAAAGTAAAAGTACATACACACAAATACATTTTTTTCCAAATATTTTCTCATCATTTTAGGTTTTTGTCACAATGGGTGTTCATGTTTCTAGTAAGTTCTGTTTAAATTAGATATTCAAAGCTTGTCATGATTGACAGCTGAGACTCACTCGCCGATTGGTGGAGCGCATGCATCAGTATATTTTAGCTTAATTTTTGTACAATAGGAGGAAGTATAGACACGTCGTCCATCTTAATCTACAGTCTGAGGAAGAGGAGGTTGACGTGATGACATTTGTTGCAATATAAAACTTTACCACTAGATGCCACTTAATCCAGGAGACTTGTTGTGTAACTTTATTTTGATCCAATATGATGATTTTGTCTTTGTCTGTTTTGCAGGTGATGTGAGGACCACACAGGATGTCGTGCGTTTGTGAATGCGCACGAGTGTGTGCGTGAGAGTGTGCGTGAGAGTGTGCGTGAGAGTGTGCGTGAGAGTGTG